CTGTTAGCCCAGGATTCCACTCTGCCCACTTCTGCCAACCTCTCTGGATTTGTCAAATTGTCCTCCCCATGGTGTCCCTGCCGTTACCACCCCATTACCCAAAGAACATTTCCTTTCAGATCAGCATCACTTGCATAAGAAGCACACTATTCTTATGAAAATCTTATATGAGGAGTTGAAAATAAAAACAGCAATGGGACATAGCTAACATCATACTTTATGGTAAAAAGGGTAAAATATGTTTTCCTAATACCAAAAAGAAAGTACATTCCTACGACTTCTACTCAATACTGCACAAGAGACTTTACTGAGAAAGAGCTAGAGGAAGAATATATGCAGATTCAAAAGGAAGAAATAAAACTGTTTATAGACAAATGTTATGATCATATAAATGGAGAACTCCATTATATGCATTAAAAACTATTAGAATAGGGCCCGGCACGATGGCGCAAGTGGTTAAGGTCCTTGCCTTGCACACCCGGGATCCCATACGGGCGCCGGTTCTAATCCCGGCAGCCCTGCTTCCCATCCAGCTCCCTGCCTGTGACCCGGGAAAGCAGCAGAGGACGGCCCAAGGCTTTGGGACCCTGCACCCGTGTGGGAGACCCGGAAGAGGCTCCTGGCTTCGGATCGACATAGCATCAGCCATTGTGCTCACTTGTGGAGTGAATCAGACAGAAGATCTTCCTCTCTGTCTCTCCTCTCTGTATATCTGCCTTTCCAATAAAAAAAATAAAATAAATCTTAAAAAAAAACCTTAGAATAAATGAATTCAGAAAGGGGTTGGATGGAAGATCAATATACAAAAGTTATACGTCTTTATATTACCAACTGAACAATCCAAAAATAACACCAAGTGAACAACTACATTGGCAATAGCAACAAAATAAAATAAGCATCAGTAAACTTACACAATGAAGACTTTAAATATTACTGGGAAAAAATATCTAAGTAACTGGGAAACTACACCTCCATTCCTTTTATTCACCAAGCCTTGGTTCCAGGGCCCCTACTGAAAGCAGAATCAGACGCTTAGGTCCGCTATGCAAAGTTGAGAGACATTTGCATATAACCTTCGCATATCCTCCTCACTCTTTAAATCATCTGTAGATTATTTATGATAACAACACAATGTCAATTCTACAAAAATAGTTGTGTACTAGAATAATTACAAGGAAAAAATCCTGTACATATTCATGATGGATGCCAATTTTATTTCTGAATGCTCTCAATCCATGGTTGGTTGAATTCGTGGATGTGGAATCCACGGACACAAAGAACTAATTGCAATGTGTCCTCAGAATAGAATATTTGCTATTAGGAAGATGAGAGTACTTCCCAACTCAATCTACAGACTCAAATCAACCCTTATAAACACCTTGGCTTGCTTTTCTGTTTGTTTTTGTTTTTTTTTTTTTTCAGAATTGGCAAGCTGGTGATGAAATTCAAATGGAACTACAAAGCATTAACTAAAAAGAATTATAAGCAATTTTGAAAAGAAAAGCTCCACGATGCCCCATCTTGAAACTAACTGTACAGGCACAATAGTGAGGCATGTGTGGTACTGGCCTAAGAGAAGATTTACAGGTCATATAAACTTCTACATTACATTTAGCTCATTTTTCATGAGGGTGTCATGACAACTCAGTGGGGAAAACAGCAAGTGGTGCTGGGACAACTATGAATTTAGGCCCCATTCATACCGAGAATCTAACTCAAAAAGGAATTCTAAAACTAATCATAAGAAGTAAAATCAGCTGTGAGTCTATCAAGCAATGCTTGCTTAGATATGGCACTAATGCACAACTGGCAAAAGGAAAAACAGATACGCATACATACACATATATTTATATATGTATAATATATGTGTGTACACACACATAAATCATAGTTTATGTATATAATATATGTGTTGTACACATACACACATTAATCTCACAGGGGCAGGCATTTGCCACGTCAGTTAAGATGCTAGACCCCACGTCAGAGTACACACGTCAGTTGGGACAGCTAGACTCCATGTCAGGTTCCACATGTTTGAGCTCTGCGTCAATTCCAGCTTCTTGCTAATGCTAGGAGACCACAGGTGATGGGTCCAGTACTTGGTCCCTGCCCACAGGGAGCCCAGAGTGAGTGCTGAGTGCCTGGTTTCAGGCTGGCCCATCACAGGTATCTGGGGGAGGAGGGGAGAGAACCAGCAGATGGAATATCTGTCTACGTGTCTGTCTTATTGCCTTCTTCAAAAGGTTGTCTATAAAGTTACCATAGGATCCAGCAATTCTCCTCTAAGATATACACCCAAACATATGAAAACATATAGCCAAACAAAACGTGCACACAAATGTTCATCATAGCTTCATTCGTAAAGGTGGGGGTCACCCTAGTGTCCACCAACTGATGGATGCACAAGTTCAATGAGGCAAATGTAGAACTGAAATGTTATCTGGCAACCAAAAAAACCTGAACTATTCAGAGATATATTACAAAATGGATGATTTTAAAAAATGTTCTGACTGTAAGAAGTTCCAGAATACATGATATACAATTGCATGTACGTGAAAATCCAGTTAGGAAAATTTGTAGAGACAGAAAATGGATCAACTGTTGTCCGGAATTTGGCACCTGCTGGGTATAACATTTCTTTTGGGTAACAAAAAAAATGTTTTTAAATAAACCATTTTAAAATGTTTTAAACTTAGTTAGTGGGCACAAACGTAGGATATACTAAAGGACACCGAACTGTATACTTTCAATGGGTGATTTTTAGGGTATGTGAAAGAAATCTCAGTAACAATGTTCTTTTAAAGAAAAAGCACCTGATAGCTTTAAAATTTAGAACACAGTGAGCCTTGCAGATCAGCTGGAGCTGGGTTTGATTACCAGCCATCCAACTGCTAGCTACGTGGTCTTGGGCAAGTTCCTGTACCATTCCAAGCTTTTAGTCTTGCAGCAGGAAGGAAAGCAGGAGAGGAGGGGACATGCAGCTTCAGAGTTACAACGAAGGCACAGCCCAGGGGACTGTCTGGAGAGAAAAGCAAAACATCCAGGACCACCAACTTTACTGGATTCTTAACCCCATGCATTCGCCAGAAAATGGTGCCTTTCCTAAATACACACACACACACAATGCTGCCCCCGAGCTAAGGTTAGGTGTGGGTTATAGTGTATACTATGCTATGCTATAATCACAGTAAAACTACAACTCTGTCTGCAGCTAAGAGCAGCATCCCTCAGAAAACAGCATGTGTGCCATCTTTATCTTCCACCTATGGCCAGATCTATAGCAAGAACAGAAGCATTTACAATATTAATGGAACTCGAGGAACACAAGAAGGATCCTGACCATCCAATCCCAGGCCACTGTTACTTTATACTAACTCACCTGGGAAGGTCATTTCCCCCCAGCACCTAGAAGGCATTAGATGCTTTGAGCTTTGCCTTTTCAACAGCATCATGCAAATAGAGGCTGAATGCTAAAACGTAAACATATGTATCATTCATAATGCATTCAGATGTTTCTTAATTATTCATGGTTCCTGAAAGTTATTGGACCTATCATGCATACATATCCCAGCAATGTTTATATTAGAACCAAAGCCTCAAGTGCACACAGCTCCAGCTCCTTGGCATTCCCGTCTATGGAATTAAAATTAAATGAGTCCGTGGTCAATAAAAGTTACATGTGATTTCCATAAAATTATCTATTGTATATTGCTCAGGGTAGAAGAGGTGGTGGAGAAAGAAACATGGAGTGGCTGAACTGGCAGAACAGAATGTGTACTCTCTGATGAGCAGGGCAGGGTAGCTCAACTATCCAAGGAATGAATTCATTATTTCCCTGAATAATTGGTGGTCTTGAACTTATTCTTCATCTTGGGGGGGGGGAAACTCAGAGGGCCTCTTTCTGTCTTCTGTTTTAGCTTGTAATTTTTTTTTAAATGCCAGTATTCCAGGCTCCAAATCATCACATTCTTCTGTTTTGATGCCTGCATACATTTGCATGTTAACATGAATGGTTCCAACTTACTGAACATAAAATGAAATGAAATTTGAATTCAAGTCCAATATGGAAAAAAGACACATGTGAAAACAACAGATTTTTCAATCCTGTTGAATTTTTTCAAGAATCAGATTTGGAAAGACATAAACACACACACATACCACATCTTCTAACTTCAAAGAAGGATAGTAGTCAGGTACTTACAGTCAGCTATTGCCAAAGAGGATCCCACACCCATATAGCTCCTCTGTGCGCGCACACACACACACACACACACACACACACACACACACACACACAGAGAGTGACAATAACAAGCACTATGAATATTTGCAGTTCATAGGACAGATTCTGAAGTGTTTTGATGACTGAATTCCACCATTAAACTCAAAAATTGGACTCAGGGGACAAGTTCACCATCATATTGCTGCCTTTGGGGAGGCCCACCCAGGTAAAAGGAAATGTAAGGAACATCATGGGTGCAGGTCAAGAAAATGCAGCCATGAGTTTGCCTCTGCCAACCCTGAAAGCCCCTGGAGCCAGTGCCTCAGGAAGGCAGTACAACAGTGTCAGGTGCAAGACAGTGGAACAAGCAGCCCTGGCTTGGAAGCCCAGATCCACCCTCCATGGGCTACTGTGAGACCCCTGGCAAATGCCTTCATCTGTAAGACACTACTGTTTTTCAAGGGTTTCCATTGACAAAAAACAATAGTACCAGCCTGATGGATTGAAGAAAAATGGATACAGTGGTGGGTCTTTTTGTTATTTAGAATTGAAGTGGTGACCTGCAGAGAAATGAGGCCTGAAACTCCTTTTCCCCCAGAACAGAAACTCCAAGAGCTCTGACTTCCAGACAGTGAACAGTGTCAGTCCTCTTCTCACCCGGTCCCATATTACTTGCCTGCACATCCCAATTTCCTGTCATGCAGGCGTTCCAAATACAACGACCACCCATCTTAACAAATAAAGGGAATGCTCTGTGACAGGTGCCAAACCTTACCTCATCTTCACTCCCAATGGTGTTTGCATCTAATTTCTGCACCACCGACTTGTCACTTTCCTTTAGCATTTTCTCTCGAACTTTAGTTTCATACTCGGGCCGGGAATGTTCCTAAACCAAAGAGCCAGAGAGTGGTTAGTAAACGGGAAGAAGAGTAACCTTGGCCTGTGGGTTAAGATCAGACACAAGAACAACGAAAGGCAGGGTTTAGGACGGGATGCCATCGGACACGAAGTGCCACACCACTCACAGTCAAAGGGTGTCTAGACCAAGAACACATTGTGAGGGAGAGAAAAGGGAGGCACAACACTTGTGAGGACAACGGAAATCAAACCTGAGCACGTTCCTGGGGGTGGCACCGGCATTGAGAAAGCAGAGAGGAAAAGTTAACCAGGCAGCTGATAGGAAGAGATGTGTGCTTTGCACAGCCGTTTGACCAAAGGCACAAGGAGACATCTGGTCACCCCCCACATTCCACAAGCTATCTTTCCACCTCAGTTTTTAACTTACAAGCAGCCAAGTCCCAGCTGGAAAAACAGATGTGTCCCACAGCTGGAAGCAAGGGCAACAACAAAACTGCTTCCTTGCGCCGTTACTCAGTGAGCTACAATGGTGACCAGTAAACATCAAAGTCAAAGATGAACATGGGGAATCTTAAAACTCACTTGCTCGGACCTGTTTCCTGTATGGCCTAGGTGAGTCACTCATTGGCAAGCACACGGATGCTCAGGAGACCTCACTGGGCCATTCAGCCGTGTAACCGTGAACTGTGAGTCACCAAGCATGGGAAAGAACACCTAACTCATCAAGAGGACTCTGGTCAAATCAAATTAAAGCAGATGCCGGGCAGGAGGCTGCATGATTCACTTCAAAGGGAATGCAACAGTGTACACCTGGCCTCCTTGGCAGGTCTTCCCTGTAGCTTCCAGCTCCAGGACAAATATCTACAGGTATGGAGATTTTGTGTGCCTGCATCATTTGCCGGTTACGCGTAGGCAGGGGTTCAGGTGCTACTGGCTTGTAGTGGGCTCTGTTCTTCAGAGAACACACCTGTCTTTATCCCTACCCTACTGTCAGATTCCAGAGGCCAGCAAGCTTGGCTTCTTCCCTGTCTCTGGATTTCCTAAGACATCATGAAACTACAGGAAGAGACCATTTAAGCCACTAACTGGTAGAACCAATAAAACAGCAGATGATGTTTAAGTCCGTCCCTCATCACCCAACTTTGAGGATTTATGGGTCCCACCCCTTCCAGGAGGCCTTCTCTAACTGTTGCAACATAGCTAGGGGGCAGGATCTCCTCCCTCCCTGGATTCCTAAACGTTTATAGCTTACACCAACACTGTAAGTCTCGATTACATACATTTCTTTAGTCCCTGCCCTTTAGTATTTCCTTACATGCGAGTCTTCTTGTCCTCACAAGAGGACTGGCTACCTGCTCTGTATCATTTCACGTTCCTTGCCATAACTGGCACTCTGCAGAACACAGACACCTCTAAATGCTTACAAAGTTGCTGGATTGCTTCTCTTCCTTCCATCCATTCTCCAGCATGGAGAATTGTACATTTCCCAAGATGTGTGCTGAGCAAGTGTGAGGTACAAAAGGACTCAAGGGTCTAAAAGACTGGAAAATACCACAAGATGTGCTGCCTTTTGTTGTCAGAGTCAAAGGAAGGAAGGAAAGAGGGAGGGAGGGAGGGAGGGAAGGAAGGAAGGAAGGAAAGAAGGAAGGAAAGAAGGAAGGAAAGAGGGAGGGAGAGAGGGAGGGAAGGAGGGAAGGAGGGGAAGAGGGGGGAAGGGGAGGGGAGGAGCAAAGAGAAGAGAGGAGGCAGGGAGGGAGAAAGGAAGGAGAAAATAAAAGACAAGACAGGAAAAAGTAAAGCAGAAGCTCTACTGGCGGGACACCTGCTTCATTTTCTTGAGGCCTTTGTTTCCCACAGGGCTCCTGCAGGGATCTTTTGAGAGGCAAAGTCTGAAATATCCTCCATGGCATGTGAATCCAGTGGAAGTTTTTCATTTAAAATCGTGGCAGTCTCTTTTGGTGTGTACCATATACTGAGTCCTTAAAATCCTACAAGCCACAGTGCCTTCTCCTTTTCCTACCCTGCAGAGGGGCTGAGGAAGTGTCCCGCCCGGCTGACTGGGAGAATGTTTTTCATTCTTGACATCACCCCAAAGGCTTCCTCAGGTCACTCTAGTTGTGGCTATGTCCTGTCTCATCCACACCATGTCCCTGTTCATATAGACCCTCATGTGGTTCAAACAAGCCCAACACTCTCAGAACACAGTGTCAGAGTCTGAGACGCAGAGCACTTGCAGACTGCTCTGCACCTTGACAAAGGCTGGTCAGACCAAGCTTTCCATGTGTGCAGGTCGGACAAGGTTATAACAGATTCCTTCAACAGCAGGACCACAAAATTCCTTGCCAGGGCAGAATCAGGAACCAGAGAGGGTTGCTTTGCCATACCACATCATGGGCAGATCAACCATATTCCTGATGTTGATTTCCCAGTCTCAACCTCCCCCCACAAGACTCTGGGAACTATTTCCACTAGCTCAGTCTTTCCCAGGAACTAACTTGGAGCAAGTACCTTGCCCAAACACAGGACTGTCCTTAGCTGATGAAACGATACAATCTAGATACACATTCTGGAAATACATGTCCTCAATAACGCTCTGGACACTTTAGTAGGCAGAGAAGCATTGGTGCTGGCACTGTGGACTAGTCTTCATTCTCAGAGCTTACCTCCCACTGGAGGAAGTTAGCAGGAAGCAAACCAGCACACAAACAAGACACTGGCAGACGAAGGAAAGACAGGCCCAACAGGGTAACACTTTCGCTCAGAGAAGGCAGGAATGTACAGGCCGTTGTGGAGATGGTGGGATGGGGAAGGGGTGGTGAAGAAAAGCATTCTTGACAGTGGGACTGGCCAGTGCAAAGACCAACATGAGCCTGCAGCAGAGTGAAACGCTACGTGGTTGGAAAGCCTGAGCAAGGATGCTGAGAGGAGGTCAGACAGGTAGGCAGAAGGGTTTGTTTCCTCAGCCTCCGAGGATGTCTAAAGCTTGCTATGCCTGGAGAGCGGTGGGAAAGATAAGGATGTGTTCAGAGTTCCAAGACTGCCTGGTGCATGAATGACAGAAGATACCCCAAGAAGATAGGTTGGCAACATTCTATATTAGACATTTACAGATCCCCCAGAATATGGAGGTGGCTCTGTGCTCCATATCAAAGCCTGTTTCACAGTAGGTGTTTAATGCTTGTGTTTAGAACTGAATGGAATTCTCTTTCTTAAGCAGATTAATATCCTCATTCAAAACTGAGGTACATTCAAGGAAAAGACAAGGCTGGCCTCCTTTTCTCTCACTCTGACCTGGCCCTGGGCTGCACACCGAAAGCCTATAGAGCCAACGAGCCTTGCCAGAGCCTCCCAGAGATGTCATCAAGAACAACGCTTCGCCCGTGATAAACCCTGTCTTGTCCAGGCCCCTCTTCAGCCTGCATGTGAGTTCCTTCAAAAGTATACCTCCCAGGAAGTTACCATGGCTCATTGGCTTAAACAGAACAACAGGAAACCTGGCTACAGAAAGAAAAATGGATCATAATCCCATTGCTGCCAGAGGCTTGATGCAGAGATTTGCAGGGCACTGAGTCATGACTGATGCGTTTCCATGTGACAGTGTGTTTACAAGCCCTTTGACAGGGAGATGTGCTGCCTTCCTCAACTTTTCTTTGCCGATTCACTGAGCTCGTCTCTGGCTCATACAACCTTGGATGACAGAGTTATTTCTTTTCTTTCAAAAAATTTTTAAAAATGTTTTTATTAGAAAGGCAGATTTACAGAGTAGAGACAGAAAGATCCTCCATCTACTGGCCCACATTCCAAATGGCCACAATGTCTGGAACTGATCTGACCTGATCCAAAGCCAGGAGCCAGGAGCCCCCTTGGGGTCTCCCACATGAATACAGAGTCCCAAGGACCTGGGCCATCCTCCTCTGCTCTCTCAGGCCACAAGCAGGGAGCAGGACAAGAAATGGAGCAGCTGGGAAGCAAACCAACACCCACATGGGATGCTGGTGCCTGAGGGTGGAGAATTAGCCTGCTGAGCCATGGTTCTAGGCCCCCAGAATTATTTCTTTTCTTTAAAGATATTCTAGCCCCTGGCATTAGGACAACAGAATGTACTCACTGCCTACTTCCCATACCCGACCACAACCCTCTACATATGGCCTATCCTTCTCTCTCTCTTTCTCCCTCCCTCCCTCCTCTCTCTCTCACAGACACACACAGATCCTAGGAAAAAAGATTAGAAGATAAAAACTGAAAATCCATATATTTTCTGTGAACTCTTGGAAGACCCCCTGTATGAAGAGATTTCAAAACTTGGGAGACAAAAAACAAACTTTTCTTCTAATTCAATTTGCATGAACTTCTTTAAGTACATTCGTATGTCAACCTGTTTTTGCAGGATTAGATGACATTGTCCACCACAGCAAATTTCTGTAGCTCTTTCTACTAGGAACACCAGTTTAGATATTTTCCACCAGGAAATGCAACTGCCTAATTACCCACTGCTGCTTATCATGCTAACTAATTCCAACCCTGTCTGACAGCAGAACTCACATAAATGTTCTCTCATTTGCTGCAGAATCCATGATATTTTTTAATCTCAAGATATATGGTTAACACAAAAAATTGAAGCAGAGTAGATATCATTACTCAGTACATGGTAACGGCATGGGTGCAATGGAGGGAAAACCCATGATAGCAGGGGGAAGCCACATTATTATACCTCTCTCTCTAGCACATGTAAGCAGCACAACTTGGATTGGTAGGTTCCTTCCCCACAGCTGCTCTGTGGCTCCTGCCATTTTTCAACCCATCTGCTCCAAGACAAGTTAGCTAACAACAGCATTAAGGAAGAGATGATGACACACCACAGACACAGAGACACACAGGCTGGAGAACAAGACTCAGTTGGAAATTTTACTGTCTTGGTTAAGAAATGTCAGGATCAGGGCCCAGCAGAGTAGTCTAATGGCTAAAGTCCTTGCCTTGCATGCGCCAGGATCCCATATGGTTCTGATCCCAGTGGTTTTACTTCCCATCCAGCTCCCTGCTTGTGGCCTGGGAAAGCAGCCCAAAGCCTTGGGACCCTTCACCTACATGGGAGACCCAGGAGAGGCTCCAGGCTCCTGGCTTTGGATTGGCTAAGCTCCAGCCATTGTAGCTGCTTGGGGAGTGAACCAAGAGGTGAAAGATGTTCCCCTCTGTCTCTGCTCATCCCTGTATATCTGAATTTCCAACAAAAATAAAATCTTTTTAAAAAAGAAATATCAGGATCACAAAACCTGAGATCTTGAGTCCAAGGAAAAAGTGGACACGTTGCTGATTGAATACATGGCTGCCTGAGATATCAGCAACCCTTGAAAGTTGTAGTGGTCAGGACAGAGAAAGCTGGTTGAAGTTCAAAGAAGTTGGAAGAGAAAGTTGAAGTTGGAAGAGAAAGGATGGAGGGCAGAGTGGCAGCGTAGACACTGCCTGAAGAAGGCAGAGTGGCAGGGACGAAACAACCTTGAGATGCCATGACCTAGTGCCCATCAAGTCACCAACAGTAGGGCAGGGTTGTTGGCTTTCCAGACTGTATGAGAACCTACCTTTTGCCCTTGAATTGCCCTCCAGCTTCACACACTGTATGCTGGTATGCACCCTAGTGATTCGGTGGTCCTTGTACCTTGCAAGGGCATCAGAACCAACCAGTGCCTCTGACATTTACACCTGTCTCTCTTGACCTTTGGTAGGCTTATAGAAGCATTCTGACCTACCCCTGGCCAGACGAGAGTGATTCAATCTGCTTACCTGGGTCCTTGCCATCAAGACTGCCTTCCTTCAAGCTTCTATCATCTCTCTCCCCAGAGCAGAAAATGAAAACATCTGCTTACCCATCAGCCCAATGTCTTACTGCTCAAGGGAAGAGGAGACATTTGAACTCTTGGCTGCATCGCTCATCAACCATGACTTAGTTCATGGAACAAACCTATAGCAGCAGATACGGTAAGCCCCAGCCAGCGACTGCCTGATGTGACATGAAATGCCAGTGGCTGCCTCACTTCAGATCAACTCTGCCTAATATCAAAGCAAGCAAGTGGCCGGACGAGAATGCAAGGGAGCTCACCTCTTCCTCTTCTATTCCAGTCAGGTCCCAGAAGTAGCCCAGGCGCATCTGTAGTCTCTTCCAGTTTTCCAGAAACATAGTAGCTAAAAAATAAACAATTTTTGAAGAATGGATCCTGAACACCCCTTATAAGTTCTCTTTTATAGATGGGTGACATATTATAGCCTTCAAATTTAGGGGTTCTCATGAAAGCATCTACCCCCTGCCTCCCATCCCAACTTGGAGCTGCTCAAAATATTCAACATCTAGAGGGCCAGTAGATAGACACTAAAGGGGAACACACACACACCTTTACCTACTTCCAGGTTATGAAAAGAAGGTGAATATTGGTTTGGAAAGATGAAAGAAATTTTGGAACATGAAGAAAATAAAAATATTAAGTTTTATTGATTTTTATTTACTTGAAAGGAGAGAGAGATTTTTTCCATCTGTTGGTTCACTACCCTAAATGTCTGCAGTAGCCAGGTCTGGACCAAAGCAAAGCCGAGAACCCAACACTTCAGCCACATCTCCTAGGAAGGCTTCAGGGGCTCACAGTTTTGAGCTATCATCTGTAAATTTCCCAGGATGCACCAACAGGGAGGCAGGTCAGAAGACAGCAGCCAGTGCTCCAAGTGACACTTAATACAGGGTACGGGTGTCTCAAGCAGCAGCTTAACTTGCTGCATCGCAATGCCAACCCTGTAGACATTTTTGGTATGCCTCCTCTTGCCTATGCACACACCTTCATCCTGCACCATCACCAGCAATCTTTCTTTTGTTTCTCATCTCTTTCTGTCTCAATGCTACCTTTTCTAGGCTCAGATCAACTCATCGTGAGATTACACAACAGCTCCTTATAGACCGATACAACTCCAGATTCTCAGCCTTCCAACCCACCCGGCACGCGGCTGACAAAGTAATTTCTATAACCAGCATTCACTCATGCTTTCCTGTCTAGCAGCTATCTGTTCAAGGCCTATCATATGTATGCCTGAGTATGCCTGCCCCACCCAAGGCCCCCTGAAGGAAAAGCCCAGAGTGCTCTAGGAAAAACCATGGTATCCCTGGCATCATCGTCCTATAGCCATGATGTGATGAACACTTCATCTAGGCCTACGGATAGACCAATCATATTCTCTTTTCAGAAATCAAAATAAAGTCACATAAGAAAGGGAACAATGCCACGGTTAAAATAACAGAGAAAGCTGTGGTTTCTGGAAGTTTTTCCAGCTCCAGTATCCAAGTAGGCCTGACTTTATCTTATCTTCTATACCCATAACATTGCCTCTTGCTTTCTTACAATAAATCTCTTGTTCTTTTGAACAAGCTTAAGTGAATTTTTTATTAAATTTTTCTTTGTTTGAAAGGTAGTGAGACAGAAAGATCACTCCCCAAATGCCTCCAAAAGCTAAGACTGGATGAGGCTGGCGCCAAAAGTTCAGAATCCAATCCAGTTCTCATGCAAGTTGGCTTCAGAAGAACCCAAGAACTTCAGCCAACACCTGCTACATTCCAAGTGTGCATCAGCGGGACACTACAACTAGAAACAAAGCCAGAATTTTAACCCAGGCACGCTGGTATGGGTTGTGGCTATCCCAAGTGACAGCTCAGACTTTTTATCAGGAAAGATTTTTTTTTTGCAAGCCTTAGGAAGGACACAGATAATCAGAAGGTGCAAAAGAGGAGAGCTTCCTGCCAGAAGAGGCATTTGGGCTGAGGGTTGAAGAACAGAGGCGTTTGGGAAGTGAAGCAGGGTGAGGAGGAGTATGCTACCACTCCACTGCCTATACTTCCAATGGATCCTTGTGGCCCCAGTTCTGCTTTCTGGACACTACAATTCTGTGAATGCCTGGCCCAACTCATCTACCGAAACTACACCCACTGACCATCAGTACACATGACACCTGCATCACTGTTGAGCCCACAACTTGATCAAATTATTCCCTTCTCCTTCTCTATTTACCTGTTTCCTCCCATCACCTCCCCTGACCAGATCAAGTCTCCCTCTTCCATAAACTCACACCTCATTCACATGTGGTCCTCTCCTATTCCACTCTCCTGCTGCCCTCAGGATCATAGTGTCCCTGGAAAGAAGAGGAACTGGCCACTCCCGAAGGCCACCTCTGCAGCTCTACACCACCCCCTGCGAAGGGCAGGGAATGCTTCATGGAATGCCATGCTTTTCCACTCACCACCATTTTGGGTCTCTGTCATAACAAAACAGCGAATGCTGCCTGAGCTCTTAGCTACCTACATTTGCCTCATGCACAACACAGAACAGAGCCTAACAAACATCAAGCATTGGGAAAATACTGTTACTCATAGGTAACTTTGCAGTACTTGCAGGCATTTGCACTAAATGGATGGCTTTGTCCCTTGAATTTGAGACTTTTTAAAAAATAATTCAGTGCTTCCTGACCTCCTGACACTGGTATTGGCCTGAGGATGACCCGAGAATAGAGGAAAGTCGTTCTTCCTATTGCACTTCCCCATATCTGAGAATGGAGGTTCTCATCGCCAGAGTTCAGGGTCTGCATGCAGGGAAGATGGTGAAAACGGAAGATAAGGGTGAAGGAGTAAGAAGAGAGGAGTCAAGAGACTGAGGGCAGACACCACACCTTCTCAGAGCAGTGCACAGGTCCTGGTGCCTACTCCACGCCAGGCACTCTGCTAGGTGCTTTGCACACATACCTCCAATTGTAATGAGAACATAAAGTGGGGTCTAATTTATCCCATGTACAGAGGAGGACAGTGATGCCCAAAGATTAAGTAAAGTGCTTGAGACAACACAATCCCTTGCTCATGGATACTGATTTCAGTGACAGAGCCAGGTTCACACGTACTTGTTGCGAGATGTGCAGTTAACAGGGAGCACCAGTGAGACACTTAGAACTACCTGACCCCTGGGTTGCTGTGCTCAGTCCCTGCTCAGTGAAAGGTTCGGAAATCCCATGTTTGTATTTGCCTTTCTACAAGGTTTCAGTGTCATGGGATTCAGGTCTGAAGACCCCAACAGACTCTAGTCCTCCCTGACCTTCCATCTCCACAACCCCTTCTCTTACTGCCCCCAAGAGCCAGTCTCCTGCACGAAACCAACTTGTTCTTGGTTTGTTTTTGGCAGGCCCGGCACAGCACTCGTAATCACAATAATCACAGTAATGAGAGGCATTACTATTATTTTTAATTGTAATTTGTAGGCAGTAATGCCCAGGGGCTTTTGGCTGCTGTAACCAAATACACAATCACATTAAAGCACAGTGAGGCTGTTAGGAAACAAAACAAAACCAGCCCTGCCCTCTGCCAGGAAGCTCTGACACAATCCTGCCCCTTTGTGCTTTTCCAGGGCTGGGGATAGTAAATTATTGAGGATCCCAGAAGGGGTGGAGAGTATCTTGCTCTTTACAGTTACGGAGGAAAGACAAGAGGCTGTTGTTGCAACTTGAAACCAGAAAGTCTAATTGAAAATTAAGTTTCACTAAAACTGGGGGTTTGGTGTCCCAGCAAAATTCTTGAGGGACCACGAACCTAGAGTATATAAGCTTTGACCATTCAACAGTTGCAACAATTGCAGCACCAATGAATGGGAATTAAGGTTCCATGTGGTACATAAGTACAAAAATAACGAATGTATATTCTGGCTTCCGAATCAGTTCAAGTCTACCCTGAGTTCACTGTAAGATTCCCCTGTTTAGTGAGAAGACACAGAGCTACCTATGACTTCCCAGGCGTCAGGCTCCAACTTCAGGGTCTCCTCCTAATCCTTCCTGTGAACAGTTCCTAGGCTATAGGGTCACAAGTAAGAAGCGGGTCACTGCCCATGTGTTCCTGGGAAGACAGAGTAGAATTCCCCCTAGAAATGGTCCTTGGTGGCCTGGCAACACGGGGATCTTTCCAGGCAAGTTCAGTCTCACCCACATAAAGGTCGCCACAGACAAAGGAGGAAAGTTGTATTCCAACATTTCAGGTAGCAGTCTCCCCCTCCTCCCCTTTCTTCACATCTTGGGGACATGTGACTCCGTGCCCCACCCTGGTGGATCCTCCAGGCTCCACGGAGGCAGCGATGTATCACACAGCTTCGGCAGCAGGATCATGGTCCTGGCTGGCTGTGACACAGTGAGAAGGCTGAGCATGCCAAAGTGACTCACTCACCGCTTGGTCCACATTCAGTGGGGAGTAAAGAGCAGTGACCACTCAAATGAAGTTGAAAAAATGTTGGCTAGTCCCATTTTTTAATATGAATGGGTGTGTTTTCTTAGAAATGCTCAGCTGCCACAGGGTGGTTGTTCTAGGTTGCTCTGATTTGTAAAAAACAAGAGTATGTATTTGGAACAGGGTGGATCAGATGGCTCAGAGAAAGTTAACTTCCTTGACACTCTAGCAGCAAGCAAGAAGCAGGGAAATGAAGGAACTACCTATTCTTCTTACTCACAATCCCTGTAGGGGGAATATTGAAAACTCCACTCTGGCATGGAATACAACCTCTGTTGCTTTACATTCCTGACTTCCACAAGTAACACTGAGCCTTCAGTAAGGCGAACAGCACAGCTGTGCACTAATTGTGCGGCTCCAAGAGTTCAATATTGCACTACACAGTATGTGCAGTTTTCCATAATTAACAAAACATACCTGCAGACCCCTTATGAATATGCTAGATGTTTTTCAAATATTCATTGGCTCACGTTCTTCATAGATCATCCATCAGGCTAGTACAGAGCCAACATTGCTATATCCATGAGCAAACAGGTAAGTCCAAACAGGTTAACTATTCATATTTCTATCCACACATATCGGTAAGGAGAAATACCTCAAAATGCCTCCTGAGATAGGAGGACAAATGCTGAAGCAAACTGAAAGCTATGAGTTTGAGGGCTTGGTCATCATATCCCTGTGACAAAGGACAAGCCACAGAAGCATCACAGGAAGGATAACTTACCCCACAGAGCCATGAAGATGGAGAAGAAGACAGTGGCAGGGTTGTCAAACAGGTGGCTGGCCCGTGCCGTTCCACAGGCTGAACTGAGGTTCCAGTAATCACAGGACTTGTCACACAGGGGACACATGGTGAAGGCATTCTGCTGGTCACACATCTCTTTGCTGCAGTAGACAGAGGGTGCTGGGTCAATCGGAACTCAAACAGGACCCCTTACTCAAACCATCCCCTAAACATGCCTCATCTCCAATCTATCAACTTCATAAGTGAAACATTAGAGTGTTGGGATCAGATTATGCACCTTGAGAATATGGCTATTTGACCCCAACCCAAAACTGATGGGCCACTTTGCAAAATATGGATCTCCTTTTCATTGAAAATGGTCCAGAAAGCCAGTGACCAATACATTGGGTGATGCCTTAAATTAGCCCTCCAAAATGTGTCAAGTCTATGAAGTTGGTGGGTAAACACTTCACCAGCCCGAAACTGGCTCTTGCCCTCTTGTTCAGGCTGTTTTGTCAACTCCTGCTGGTTGTCTCATGAACATTCCATGTTGTCCAAAAGCAGAGACAAGCATAAGCATAAAGCCAGGTCAATGCCACGTGAGGAAGAACAGAATAGATCTGGGTTGGAAGCCCCTTTCGAAGAGCAGTAACCATCCGGCTCTTTATGCATCAATAATGCCTAACTTCAAGCTACTAAGAATTGTCAAAACCATCGCAAGGTATCGGGGAGCAGTGAAAGAGCCAGGCAAATTCTTCCCAGATCTAGATCCTCTGATCTTTGGAGTGAGCCCATGAATCAAATAACCCCTAATGAAATGACTATATCTGAAATTCCCTTCACTGTTTCAGTGAACAGCTGCTGCTAATGTATTTAGCCCCCTACTGAACACCTCAAATCAGAACCACAGAACTCCAAGAGCTGATTGGCTTACCCAATATCCCTGCACACTATATACCAGTAGGAAAAGGAGTGACCACATCATTCTGGTGAGCAACATCCCTGCAGGGAAATGATGGAGGTGTGGAGAGCAAAGAGTGGAGCAGTTCATGGGTGGGAAGCACTGGCTGTTCCCACTGTTAGAGACACAGTCATGGCAGGTGGGGAGTCCTGTGTTGAAAGCCACAGCTATGCTTGCTACATAATGGGGCAGCAGAGGGTGCTACAGCTCATGGTTGACAGGTGGGAGGTTCCTGCCTGGGGTAGGGAACTGGTTAGTGCCCTGTGTGCTGAGAGAGTCCTTGAAATCAAAGTGATGCCTCAGGGGAGCGATTTCCCTTTCATTAAGAAGTTGAAAGGAGGGTGATTTACAGAGAGTTGTCACTTCTTGTCAAGTCCCAACTTCTAGGCTGCTTTTGTTAATGAGCTATTAAGTCCATTGCAGGGAAACTCTGTGTGAGAGAATGGAAACTCCAGTTCCTTGCTGCCTTGCACCTGCACTCTCCATTGGTAAGTGTCAATCAGTGTGACTCATTCACATCAAGAATATTACACAGTGAGATCTTAATGAGTAAAATGATGCTCAGGTGGAATCAGCACTGAACGATGGGCAACTAGAAAGCTAGGCTTGAACAAATGCCCACTGCACAGGTATTACTACTTGCGAAGATAGTACCCCATTACAAGGCAGATAAAAATGGTCCATATGAATTCTGCCCCAGAGCTTTGCTATCAGCTGTGTCTGAGAACATGGAAGCTCCTCAGTGCTGCCCATCGTCAGCAATACAGTCTGGAACTGCATCTTGCAAACAGGAGGTGCAGGACCACACACCTGCCTGGGGACATCTACGAAAACACAAGAAATCTGAGTTGGCCACCTGTGACAGCAAAAGGTGCTCTGTAAGTAAAGGGAGTATGCACTGATGGAATGTATAATATCGCAAGCCGGTAATATAACTGTGGACTATCGTTATTAGGTGCTGCGTGCTGCTCATGATTGCACGGACTACACTTTCATACAACTGGCAGCACAGGAGGCTTCCTACACTCAGGACTGACCTCTTAACAGAGATACTATGCTGGCTATATTGTCACCAGATGACAGGAATTACTTAACCCCACAATGACTTAATGGGCTTACTACTGAATATCTGATCGGTCATTGACCAAAAACATCGTTATATGACACAAGAGTGTGTGTGTGTGTGTGTGTGTGTTAGGGAATTCACTTTGTTCACAGGGTTTTTTGTTTGTTCAGTTGTTTCATTGGTACCTGTTTGTGTTGGTTTTAAGCACAGACTGGGTGAGACAGTTTTCGTCAAAGGGAGAAAAAATTTGGGTCAACTCCACCCACTTCAATCTAGTCAATGTGAAAAGGTCAGAAAGGAAAGAAGTACTAGTACACTGTCTTGGTGCAAAGCAAAGCTGAAACGTCAATGCTGTGGAAACCAGTTTTTAAATTTCCACATGGATGCCGAGCAGCCATTTGTACAAAATGGCTGTACTGATAGCACAGATTCTGCCTAAATCACTTGCATTAAAGCCAGAATTCTTTAGATGCTGGGGGTGAGGGAGGAGATAAATTCAAACAATTTAAACAAAATTCTGGAGAAACTGTCTCTAAATGACATCAAGAAGACTGTATTCCCTAGGAGAGGCTGCCTCTAGAAGAGCTACAGGAGTTGAAGCCCACTGTCAGCTCACATCTGGGTTACTCACTCGTTGCATTTTTACAGACTTGCAGTGAGGCGTAACTGTGCCTACCAACTTACTGGTGTCTGTCTTCCATCTACAGCTTTCTCTGGAAAGCATAAGCAGCTGATAAATGACCTGACAATCAGCTACTTTAAAAACAATTACTTTAAAAAAATGAGACAAGAAAGAATACCCCAATACTATCTGCCCTTATACATACTTCACAGATGAAACTCATCAATTGGTAAGTAGAAAAAGTTTTATAGATCCTTTATTTACACATGGGGTTATTACTTATGTTTCCATTTACTTCACATACCAAAATTGTTGTGAATGAAATATACCATTTAAAGTTCCAGATAATTAACACCAATCTTCTAATTTTGATATTGTGCTATAGTTAGTGAAGACAAAACAATTGGGAGAAATTGGATAAAATGTCTTCTGGGCCTCTCTATGCTATCTTTGCAACTTCCTATGAGTCCATAATTTTCTTTTTCCAAAACAAATAAAGCTTTCATACGTGACATAGTCACCTCCAGATTTGATGCCCAATTAGCAATGTCTACAAAAACGCAGGACAGACCCCTAAAGAACACGAACTTGTTTGGATTCAACATTGGGACTTAGAGACTGTTCCTTGGTTGGTGAAGCATAGCATTTTGTGAGCTTCTACCAGGTCTATGGAACTTGAACTTGTGATGGATACACAAGTACACTTAGAAGGCAGCCTTTAAAAAAATCTAGGTAAAATATTTGATTTTTTTTTTTCCATTCATATCTTTCTGATTTGCCACAGCATGGCATGAATCAGTTAATATTTTAATTTTATAGAAGTCAATTTCAAGCAATTTTTGCTCTGATAGCAGCATGCAAACATATCTACACACTCATCTCCACAATCTCACACAAAAGGACTAGAAAAGTAAATTGGAAAATTGTGTAATGTGAAAGAACTGCATGTGTGCTTCAGTTTCTAACATCAAATACGTTTATCTTTCAATTCTACCTTTTCCACAAACTTCTTGAAGTTCCTTCATATAACTAAAATAAATCTCCTGAAACATTTATCCTTCCTTCTTGCAACAAATATTCAGATTTCATTTCATTGTAGCCTACTCTTTTTCTAATTGCTCATTAAAAAAAAATAACCCACCAAATTGATGCCACAACCCAACAATGGGGCTGTTAGCCATAGACCTTGCTTACCCCAACGAGTAGCATGGTACATCTGCCTGGGTGACAACCACATTGCACATGTGTATCATCTCTGCACACGTGTGAGTGTGAATGTGTGGTGTGCGTGTCTGCATGTAGACACGCAACGACCACATGGGCAGACAGACCATTGCCATTTCCAGCTGTGGTGGTGGATACCACATGGGTTGTCCTGATGGGAAACAGCAGCACACTAGCACCCCACACAGGGTACTGGCTCTAGTTCCCTTAGCAGAACACTGGGCTTTGAAACTTTTGAATGCTTTGGGTTGTGTTTTCTGAGAACTGACCAAGAGGAGCGGAGCCTTCTGAATGACCTCAACTGCTTATCACAAAAAAGCCAAAGCTTCAGAGCAGGAGGCAACAGAGTTCAACTCCAAGCTGCAAGAGTTATTAGCTCGGGAATTCGAACAGTTGAAGTGACCTGATTTGGCTTCAGTGTCTTCCTCCACTTAATAATAGCTATCTTATGGAGTTTACAACACTGATTTTTTATAAGACCAAAGAAATTTGGTATTCCAAACCAACATGGCACCTCTCCTGGAAACGGAAGGTGTAGGATAAAATGAGCCCTTCCTCCCTCCTAGAGGATGAGCTGGAGAAGACAGACCCCTAATGACCTCACTCCTGTGACAAATACTCCAAAACCCATGAATAACTCTGGATATTACTGTCGGATAACTCTGGAACTTCATACACAAGACTATTTGAAATCCTTGCTCCTAACACCGAATTATTTAGTTTTATTCTACATATTGGAAACACCATCTGTACGTATTTGATCCACAACCCCTTTTCCATAGACTGCTAGTGGCAAGAACTATCTGGTTTCTGCCCATTGGGCAGGTATACTTTCCTCAAAATCACAGCACTCAGCTGTTTCTGCAGCATGGTCACTGCACATCCCTGCCCCCAAATTGCCATCCCCAGCAGCAGGAGACACCAACAACTGTTAATTGTTCTCCTCCATCTGGATCTTGAAGGAACATCACTTTTTGGTACACAAGGATCCTGTCTCACAGCCATAATTGAATGGTGCAGGACATACACCTAAATCAAACAGAGCCTACAGGACCTTCTCGTCTGAATTAACATAGCATAGCATGCCGAGATAGGACCCTCCTTGAACTTTTAGTGGTAATGTTGACTTAGAATGCATAAAAATCTATAGTGAAACCAATATACAAAATATCTTATTCTATTTTAATGCTCTGTATGCAATTCTAACCCCATTTTAGTGGTCCTTTGACCTGTCCATATGCCCATTATTAGGGAACCCAAGCCATCCTAGAACACCTAGGATACCTTTTCTTTTTTTCTTTTTCCTTTTTTTTTTTGTTGGCTTAATCCAGTTAAGGCTTCATTTCTATCACTTGCAAATAAAACAGAGTATTAAACTCTGCTATCAGGGGCAGGAATTTGAAAAGGCAGTAAAGATGCCCATATCCCATAATGCAGTGCTATGTTCAAGGTCTAACCACAGCTAAAGCTGCAACTCCAGCTTCCTGTTAAGGTGCACATTGAGTAGCAGCAAAGGATGAAGTACTTGGGGCCCAGATGGAGTTCCAGACTCCTGGCCTTCCACTTTCTGGTGTCGCAACAATCGCTGTTAAGGAAACATTTGAATTTCTCTCTCTCTCTGTTTCTCTCTCTGCCCTTTCAACTAAAAAGGAACAAATACAAATTCCTTAAAGAAAGACTGTTTACATAAATATGCTAATTATGCCTTTATTTTCAATGACAGTTGTGAGGATAGCAAGAACTTGGAATTCTAATATTAGCCAAACATTTTATTGACCTTTGTACTCGACTTCTCATCTACTTCTCATCTCCTCCGTAAAGCTGGTGTTATTATTGCCATTGAAAGCTGAGGAAATCATTGCTGAGCTAGTGAACCATCTAGTCACATGGCTGATGTGCAACTTTGCCAGCCCTAAATGTTGCTATAGTGAAGTGGTTCTTATCTTTGTAGACTCTCTCTTCCCAACAAAGTCTCACGTGGGGCTGGTCCTTCCAAATTTTACTGCTGCCCGCTTCCTCACATCATTTTATTCCAATAGCGTTTGACCATATTGACACATGACATCCACCCAGTGTCACCCTATACTCTTGCCTTGAGTCTAATGGGAAACCAGAGATTTAAAAAAAGTCATGACATCAAGCAGGAAAAAAAGAAAATTCTGGTATTACTGAAACAGAATCAGCATTTGCCAATGCACTGCAGAAATACTTCTTAAAAATGATGATTTAGTTTCAAGAGAAAAAAAAAGCTCATCAGACACAGAAAAAAAAAACAGGAAACATGAAGAACACTCAAGAAAATGCACACCACCAAAAACTAGGTACAGATTTCACAATGTTTTGCATCAAAATAAACTTGTCTTTCACATGAGACTACTTTACAGGGGTACATGCCAAAAACATCAACTACATATTTCCAAATCTCATTCCACAAAATATTTAGCTTTTAGAAGAATGTATGTTTCTACTCTATTTGTAATATCAAATTGGTACAATACCCTGGAGTACAAATTGTTCTCCAAAAATACAAAAATAGATATAACTTTGACATCAATAATTATTTCTCTGGAAATTTGTCCTAAGGAAATAGGGAAATGTTTGAAAACTAAATTATTTGATATTCATTGAAGTATTGCTTATTTTTTAAAAATCAAAGAAAACATTAAATGTCCAACACTTTGTGTTATTTTTGGTCATTTACGCACATCCACAAAGCAGAGTTTTACACAGCCATAGATCACCATGGTGCAAACAAGATAGATTATAATCTATTGTTGTTCTTTGAGAATACATTACAAAATAGCTTAAAGAATGGATTATTTCTTTCACAAAACTGAATGTGTACAATACTGTATGCACAAAGAAAATATTTTGAAAGATCATATGGCAAGATTTTAAGAATGGCTCTCTTTTTTTTCTGGGATTTTGCATGCTTAAAGTGTTTTGTATTGTGTAAGATGCTTTTTTAAAGTTTGTAGAAAATGGAGTTGAAAGATGACATGTTTTTTTTTTCCTCTCTATTCTCTTATTATTCACCTGATAACATCAGACTGTGACCCTAGGAGAGATTTCGACTGGGTAAGGAAGTGAACCACACCAGCATGACTCTGAAGTCATTCCCACCACTGACAGCTCCCAGATTCGTTCCAGAAGGGAAGTTACATGTGTGCTCAGGGTGAATGAAAGATAGAGGAAGACTCTGCAAGGAGGCGTGGGAAAGGTACTTGAACGGGGATAAAACTCCAAACAGATGGCAACTGAGCATTTTTCTTGAAAAGTCACTTACCTGGGAATATCTTCTTCGATTGTTGCACATCCATAAAGAAACACGATCACCCCAATCACAGAAGATGGGATGAGGAAAGATGTGTATAATCCCAGCCAGGCGAAATACAGTCCAATTTTTTCTCCAAAATACTTTCTGAAAAAAAAAAAACAAAGCAAGCAAAATGACACACAGCTGAAGAACATCATATGCTTTCCTTATTTCTGTTCTGTGCCTTGAAATTGGTCAGTCTTAGTACTTGTTCCTTCCTGTGTTGAACACAAAAGGGATACAGGTTACATGGAAAAGGAAAAACTTCAGCACAAACCTAATAGTGATCTTTTCTGAAATGAAGTACATTCTTCTGAACTCACATCTACACAGCAGTCATGGCTGTTCATTTAAAACAGGCATGAGAAGGAATCCAGTCCTAACAGCAAACTAAAAACATGCCATAGATTTGGGTATCTTTACCAAACACGAATATTCTATCATTTCTTGCACACCATAGCCATCAACCTACAAAACAGCATGCTTAATTGGGACTAGTTTATTTGAGCAAAACACACAAATTACATATTTGGGCAAGTATGCATTTGTACACAAAGCTGCACGCATACATTCCTTAAAGAATGGCTGGAAGGGTTGGCATAGCTGGCTAAGCTGCCACTTGGGATGCTCTATAACCCACATCACAGTACTGATTGGAGTACTGGCTATTCTACTTCCAATCCAGTTTCCTATGAATCCTAGGAGGCTACGGATGATGCTCCAAGTACTGGAGCTCTGCCAACCACATAGGAGTCAGAAAGGATTCCAGGCTCCTGACGTTGGCCTCACCTAGTCCCAACTGCTGCTGGCAGAAGGCATCAGTGAATGGAAGTACTCTCTCTCTCTAAGAAGGCAAAGTGACAGAAGAGAGAAAGAAAGTAACAAATGATATTTTTAAGCTGACTAGAGAAATTCAATTAAAAAAAAATCAAACTGCTTCTCCATGTGAGGCTATTATGGGCGATTTTGAAGTTTCACTCATTGAGCGTTTCTGAAACCATTTCAGAAGCAGTATTAACTTTTCAGATGATATCTGATATTACAAAATTACTTTCTTTTATGATCTTAACTTTATTTGTTCCAGATCGTTCAGCACTTCTATGTCTTTAATATTCAATCTAAGCACATTGTTTTTTAAGCTTTTAACTAGATCCTCTCAATTGTCCAATGTTTGTGTACAATTGTTCATAACAGTCCATTAGGTTCTTTATTTCTGTAGTATCAATTGTAAAATCTCCTTTTTGTTTTTTAATTTGCATCATCTCCTTTATTAATTAGTGTAAAGGTTTTCTACTTTGTCTTTTCAAACAACAAACATTCAGCCTTATCATATTCTGTCATTTTCTTTATTCCACTCATTTTGCATTAATCTTTATTATTTCCTTCCCTCTGCCTATTTTGGAATTACTTGCCTTTTATTTTTGTCATTTCTTAAAGTATATAGTTAGCTTACTTTATTTTTTTAATAGTGTTCTTTTTTAAGGCAGATATTTAACACCATAATCTCCTCCAGGATCTGGCACAATGGCTCAGTGGCTAAATCTTCACTTTGTCAGCACAGGGATTCCATGTGAGTGCCAATTCATGTCTCAGCTGCTCTACTTCTTATCCAGCTCCCTGCTTGTAGCCTGGGAAGGCAGTAGAGGATGGCCCAAAGCCTTGGAACCCTGCACCCACATGGGAGACTGGAGGAAACTCCTGGTTCCTGGCTTCAGATAGGCTCAGCTACAGCCATTGCAGCCATTTGGGGAGCAAGCCAGCCAATGCAAGATCTTTGTCTCTGTCTCTGCTTGCCGTAAGTCTGATCTGCCTTTCCAATATAAATAAATGCCCCCTCTCCTATTATCAGTGCTGCTTTGATGCATCCCACAAATGTTCATATATTGCTTCATTTCAATTTATCTTGAAATATTTTCTAATTTTTTGACTTATTCTTTCACCTAGCTATACTACTCTTGGTTGGCAATTTATTCTTTTAGTCTTTGAATATATCATCTTGATCGGCTAATAAATGTGTGTTTCTATGGGATAAAAAGATCTGGGGTCCTCTGTTCTGCCCTCTTGCCAAGGTCAATATTCTTTTCTTTCTATCTTTCTACATTTTGTTAATGAACGACTTTTAGAACAAAAAGCAGTTTCCTTTCCAAAGGAAATCTGCCAACCCATATCTTTTAATGCCCACATTTATGAAGTCAGTGAACTATCATGGTAATACTCTAAAATGCAATTTTCCTTTAGGTAAATATTGATTTATAGATCCCTGATGAGAAAACCACAATCCACAGAGAAGTAATAGATTTCATCTTCAAGAGCCTGCAATGTAAAATCCAGATGGGAAAGGGGAGCTGTGCTCACACTGCGCACACTGTGACGGAAGGACTAAAGAGTAAGCAGAATGGTGAAGAGAACATACTCACCCCTGCTTCTCTATACCACACAGATGACCGCAAGAGAATGTTAGCACAACTTTGTAGCTACAGAATCTGCATAGCTTGTGATGCCAGAACCTTTCTTGAGTCCAATCAGAGAGCTGAAGTTGCAAGATAGTCTGTTTATTCATTTATTTATTTAGTAACGGCAGGAGCCTGCATTGTGGAATAGTGGTTTAAGCTGCACCCTGTGATGCCAGTACCCTATATAAGCATTAGCTAAGGTCCCAGCTGTTCCACTTCTGATCCAGTTCCATACTAACATGCCTCAAAAAGCAGCAGAAGATGGCCCAAATATCTGAGCACCTACCCCCATGTGGAAGATTCAGATGAGGTTCCTGGCTCCTGGCTTCAGCCTGGCTTGACCATAGCTACTGTAGCCATTTGGAGAGTAAGCAAGCAGATTAAAGATTCATATTTCTCACTCTCCCTCGCTCTCCCTCGCTCTCCCTCCCCCGTGTGTGTATCTCACTTCCTCTCTGCAACTCTGGCATTCAAATAAATAATTAAATCTCTTTTTTAATGACAATCCATCTAAGGACAGATGGGACATGTGAGCTGCCTTATATCTGCCAGAGAATGAAGAGACCGGCACCACAAAAGACTTAATCAATGTTTGAATTACTCAGTCATAAACTGCACCACACCCTCAGCAACCTGCACGTGTCAACAAGTTCTGATCTCTCCCACAGACTTCCATGTGGTACTTAGAACAAAGATAACAGGCAATGGAGGAGACCAGACACAGCCACACGGGTGTGAAAACACGACACCTTCCTGGCATCACCTCTCACTCAAGGCCTTAAACAACGGAGGGAAAGGAGGATCCTGGGGCCCAAGCCAAGGCCCATTGAGTCAGTTACCTGAAAATATACCCATCTTTACCACTGCAGAACAGCAGAAAACTCTCTTCTAGCCCTACAAATATAAGGCGTCATTTGTCCAGCATGGGAAGAGCGATATAAGTAGTAAGAAAATCTTGTTCCTTGAGGCTCAGGTGCACAGAGCCTGCCTGCGACTGTTGGGAGGACCCAGAACCAAAGCTCCCCTTCCCCCTTGCTCCCACAGTCCCAACTTGACATAGCACTGGAAGTCAGGGCCCAACACTCTATTAGGAGGACAAGGGGAAAAGCCCATGAAAAGACCACAAGCATAAAAAGACCACTGACAGTCCAGGGTGGCAAAGACGCTAAGAGGACATGGTTTCAAACTCCAGGGCCTACTCAAATGGCATAGAAGAGCAACTCTTCACTCCCCACAGATCCCAAAGGTGACCAGCAGAAGCAAAATCCAAATCCAACTCAAACTCTGCCTTGATTGACTCCATTCCCTTCACCCAGGGCCAGACAGAAAGACCTATGTACATGTCAGCTATCTTAGCTTTCATTGCCTTTCCTCAACAGCTAGCCTCCAAGAAATGATGCTACATGAAAGCAAACCACACTCAAGGAATAAGAGCCAAAAAAAAAAAAACCACAAAATCGATTTGAATGTTAGTGCAGCGAGCTAAGGACTTTAACATAGCTTTAACTAATACATTAAAAAAAAGCTAGACAAGGGCCTGGCACGGTAACCTAGCAGCTAAAGTCTTCGCCTTGCACACGCCAGGATCCCATACGGGTACTAGTTCTAATCCCAGCCACCTTGCTTCCTATCTAGCTCCCTGCTTGTGGCTTGGGAAAGCAGTCAAGACACTGAAGAAGCTCCTGGCTCCAGATCAGATCAGCTCAGCTCCGGCTGTTGCAGCCATTTGGGGAGTGATTCATGGGACAGAATATCTTCCTCTCCGTCTCTCCTCTTCTCTGTATATCTGACTTTGCAACAAAAATAAATCTAAAAAGCTAGACAAAAGCCAAGAAGCACAAAAGAGTGACAAGAATAAGCTAGCAAGAGCTGCAGGACAATTATCAAAAGGTCTGTCACACATATAGTCAGATCATTGAAGTCCCAGAAAGGCGAGAGGGTAAATGTTTGAATGTATTATGGCCAAAAATTTCCAGAAGTAATGAGAAATAACAAGAAAGGACAGAAGAGTTTACAGAACCCCTAACAGAATAATTTCTTAAAAATTTCAAACTCACATATCCTAAACACACCATAATCAAATTTCTTAAAAAAAATAGTAAATCTAAGTCAGGTAAGGGGAGGTATTAGATGCATAGGAAGAATGGGTAATGGGGCAGTTACAACCAATTTCTTGGCAGATACTGTACAAACCAAAGGGAACACAACGACTAAAGTATGGAACGAAAAGTTCAGAGTACTATACCGTACAGGAAGTATTGTTCAAAACTAAGGCAGACAGCAGACATGTTGGTCTATGGATGCCAGCTGAGAGAGCCACAAGTCCTATCAGAGTGTCTGATTCCCAGATGTGGATTCTGGGTCCAGCTTCCCGCTAACGTTGTTCCTAGGAGCAGGAGGGAAAACGACAACTCCAGTACTCGGGTCCTCCGTCACACAAGCAGGGGACATGGATTGAGTCCTGGTCCCTGACTCTGGCCCTGGTCCAGCCCAAGCCATTATGTGCATCTGAAAAGTGAACCAACGAGTCCTCTCTTCCTTTGTCTTCTGCCTCTCTGGGGATTTTTTAAAAACAAAGAAAACACATAGGCCAAAAGGCTGTTTCAGAAAGGGAAGGGTGAAAATACTCATTTTTGGTCAATTTGTACTATA